CCACAGGCAAGCTGATGATAATCTGGCAGTGAACTGGAGAGTGAGACTGTATTATAATACTGCAGGAAAAAGGTCAATAAAATTAGCTTGATTAGGTTTTCTATGAAGGGAGGGGCGAGAGCAATGAGCAGGAGCTGGATGTGAGCTGTAAGGCTGGGAACAAGACTATGAGGAGGAACTGTGACATGAAATAAAATAATAAAACTAAACTGGAACAAGATCTGGGCAGACAGTGACAGAATCATAACACAGATATTAGCTTGTGGAACATATATACAGAGTTTAGCACTGTTGAATCATGTTATAATTTTACACAAACTGTTACTTTGCCCTCTGATTAATATTTAGACGTCCACAGTGTAAAATAATATTATAAATGTGAGTATTTTTAGGTTTCTGTTAGAGGAACCTGACTTGTTGAGAAGATGGTTAATAGAGACAAGTTTCATCCTATGACCAGAAAACATTTTCTAACTGTTGACTGGTAAATACAAATATTCTTAGTTTTTATGACAGTAAGAAAAATATAATGAAAAAACTTTATTACTAGCTGAAGTCATCATTTTCCAACTAGCTAAAGTCTAAGTTACAGGCTGACTTCAGGTCTGGTTTAGATAATTGTTACTCATGAATTATATATTTTTTCTGGTATAAATTTGCTGTTTTACATGATTGTTGAATGAAATTAACATAATTATTAATTTATTATAAAAACATGACCGATAATTTGTGAAACAGATCTGGTTCAGCTTGCTGTTTATCTATTAGTTTCTATGGTGGTGTGAGGATTAGCTGGTAAAATGACCCAGGGCGCAGGCAAAGTCCAAAGTGCAAAAAAACAAAATTTATTTAACAAAAGAAGGCCTGATGAGGCAGCAAAAAACTTACAGAAACTTCTCTTCTCGGGAGGAACAGACAGGACACCACACAGGCTGAGGGATGCAGCACAATTAACTGACAAAGACAGGTGACAAGACCCAGAATATAAAGCAAACAAATTAAGAGAAAATCAGAAACACCTGGGGAGACACAATAGGGAACGGCTGAGCGTGGGCGGGGCTGGAAGCAAGGGAAAGATACACAGGGGAACACAGAAAATACTAGAAAACTAAGGAAAATAAATACAGATTATGACAGGACCCTCCACCCCCCACCCCCCCTTAACGACGGCTCCCGACGTCGAAAAGGAAGAGGTACAGGACACGGACACAACACCGAGGAATTCAGGACAAAAAGCACACAAGTCCAGGGGGACGACCAGGAAACTCTCCAATGCATGACCCCGTCATAACAGAAGGTCTGGCAGGGACAACAGCAGACGTAGAACCACAGGAGGAGGCGAGAGCAGATGAGGAGTCAAGGGAGGAGGCCGGAGCAGACAAGGAGTCAAGGGAGGAGGCCGGAGCAGATGAGGAGTCAAGAGAGGAGCCCGGAGCAGACGAGGAGTCAAGAGAGGAGGCCGGAGCAGACGAAGAGTCCAGGGAGGAGACGGGAGAAGACAAAGAGTCCAGGGAGGAGACGGGAGCAGACGAAGAGCCCAGGGAGGAGACGGGAGCAGACGAAGAGCCCAGGGAGGAGACTGGAGCAGATGAAAAGCCCAGGGAGGAGACTGGAGCAGACGAAGAGCCAGCGGAGGTTGCTGAAGCCAGCGCGCCAGCGACGGCGAACACAGGCGACAGAGGCGATGAGGAGGCGAAAGGCGACGACCCAGGYGCTGAGGAGGCGAAAGGCGACGACCCAGGCACTGAGGAGGCGATGGGGGAYGACCCAGGCACTGARGAGGYGAYGGGGGACGACCCAGGYRCTGARGARGYGRYGGGGGACGACCCAGGYRCTGARGARGCGAYGGGGGACGACCCAGGYRCTGARGARGYGAYGGGGGACGACYCAGGYGCTGAGGAAGCGATGGGGGACRACCCAGGCGCTGAGGAGGCGATGGGGGACGTGGAGACAATGGCAACCGACCCAGATGACATGGAGGGGCCGGCAGCCGACCCACGAACCTCAAGGACCGCCGACTCGGGGCCACCACCGGAACCACCGACTTTGGGGCCACCACCGGAACCGACTCTGGGACCACCACTGGAACCACCGACTCCAGGACCACCACTGGAACCACCAACTGTGGAACCACCACCGGAACCACCGACTGTGGAACCACAGACTCAGGGACCACCGGGACCACCAACTCCTGGACCACCGACTGTGGAACTGGGACCACCAATTCAGGAGGCCCAGCAGACTCAGGAGGCCCAGCCAGACTCAGGAGGTCCAGCCAGACTCAGACGTGGAAACAGCCGGTTTGGGCATTGGAACCCCAGAAAGAAAAACAGTGGTCGGAGGGTGGGCAAAAAAATCACCAGAAACCACTTCTCTCGGAGGGGAAGTCTTCGAGAGAGGGGCAAACAGTTTAACCAGCTCTTCCTGCATCTGCTGCATCTTATCCAACGTGGTTGCAGAGTCCAGCTTAGCTCTGGTGGGTGKTGGAGCAGAAACATCCATCTCATAGAGAGGYAGACCAGAAAAAGTTTGCCTGCAGKCTGGGTATCTTGGTCGGTTYATTCTGTGAGGATTAGCTGGTAAAATGACCCAGGGYGCAGGCAAAGTCCAAAGTGCAAAAAACAAAATKTATTTAACAAAAGAAGGCCTGATGAGGCARCAAAAARCTTACAGAAACTTCTCTTCTCAGGAGGAACAGACAGGACACCACACAGGCTGAGGGATACAGCGCAAWGAACTGACAAAGACAGGTGACRAGACTCAGAATATAAAGCAAACAAATTAAGAGAAAATCRGAAACACCTGGGAAGACAATAGGGAACGGCYGAGCGTGGGCGGGGCTGGAAGCCAGGGAARGATACACAGGGGAACACAGAAAACACTAGAAAACTAAAGAAAATAAATACAGATTATAACAGGTGGCCATGAGCTGTTGCCCTGTTTGGTCTCCATTTCTGCTCATCCATGCTGTCACAGACGCTACCGGTGGATGGGATGGGCGGGGCTCAGTCTAGTGATCTATATATTTCAGTCTATGGATTAAATATCCATTTAAAGGCTTAACATGATATGTACATAACCTTCATCTTGTCTTCGTTACTTGATTAGTTCTTCCTTCCCCGTCAAAAATGACTCATCCTGTATATCTGAACAGAAATCCATGATAATCCATAGATTCTCACTCAAAGCTATTAGGTGTCCTTTATCTTCTTATTCTGTAATCATGGAGCAAATTTAGGTTTTCTGTTTGGTTCTTTGAGCTGCAGACAGCATGGCACACAGAGTCACAGGTTCACCTCCCACCTSGGACCCATCTGASTGGAGTTTTTTCTCCCCATACAGGTGAGGGTTTTCTCCAGCTACTTTAGTTTCTCCCCACAAAAMCATGTATATTAGGTTCATTGRTGACTAAACTTTTCCAGGGTGAGAGCATGTCCCTGTGTCCCTGTGATGGACTGAGACYTGTCCAGATGTCCCTGTGATGGACTGAGACCTGTCCAGGTGTCCCTTGTCTCACACAGTGACAATTGGACATGGACACCAGGTTCCTGTGATCTGGAACATCTCCATCTGCTTCGGCTAATCCGTAGTTTTGGTTGAGGTGGCAACAGGTCCAGGAGAGAAACCCAGACATCCCTCTCCCTAGCAATACTTTCTAGCTCATCCTTGGGGGACCCCAAGGCATTCTCAGGACAGAGAGGATACATAATCTCTCCAGTAAGTCCTGAGTCTTTCCCAGGGCCTCCTACCAGTGAGACGTGGCCGKAACACCTCTAAAGGGAGGTGTCCAGGAGGCATCCTATTCAGATGAACCACCTCAACGGACTCCTTTCGATGCGGAGGAGCAGCGGCTCTACTCCGAGCTGCTGMCCCCAGATGATGGAGCTTCTCACTCTATCTATAAGGCTGAGCCCAGCCACCCTACAAAGGAAGCTCATTTTGACTCATTTCTTGTATCCAGGATCTTGTTCTTTCTGTCATGATCCACACCTCATTACTATAGGTAGGGTGAAATGTAGACAACACAGTAAATAGAGAACTTTGCCTTTCGACTCAGCTCTTTTCATCAATCAATCTCCATCTCCATCCTACCAACACTTTTCCTCAGATTYTGGTCATCTCTGCATTCTCCTCCTCTTAGACCTCACCACAGCCTTTGATAACCTTAGCCACACCATTCTTCTCTCCCACCTTGAATCCTCCCTCAGCATCACTGGTACTGCCCACATTTGATTACAGTCATATCTCACAAACAGGCAACAATTCATCAGGGTCAATAACTGCACCTCCTCCACTGCTCCTTTATTACAAGGCATCCCCCAGGGTTCRGTGCTTGGCCCTCTACTTTTCATCCTGTAYCTCTTGGTTCCATCATCTATAGCAGCAGTCTTCACTTCTCCGGCTATGCTGATGATGTCAGCATAGCAGATACAAATACAGCACGACTACAACTCACTCCACCCTGACCAGTTGTCTCACTGAGATAAAATCATGGATGCACTTAAAATTACTCAAAGTGAACTGTGACAAATCAGACTTCATCATCTTCAGTCCCAAACCCCGTACCAAAACCACCAACAACAACCAGTCCCCCTTTTTAAAAATGGGAACTACCACACCAGCCTGCCACTCCACAGGAGTTGTCCTACTCCTCCATCCGACATGTCAGCCATGACATCCCCACAATATCCAGAGCYGTCAGCATCCCAGGGCAAATCTTGTCAATCCCTGGCGCCTTGCCATCAAGGAGCTTTTTGACTACCTCAATGACCTCTACCATGGTAATGGACTTGACTACCCCTGAGTCTTCAGACTCTGCCTCCTCAAAGTTGGACATGGAGGGTGGGTTGAGGAGATCCTCAAAGTGTTCATTTCACCACCCAACAATATTCTCAGTCGGAGTCAGCAGTTCCCAACTCAAACCAAGTACAGCCTGGGATAGGGAATGCTCATATGTCCCTGACCTCACCCAGGACATGTGAAAAACTCTCCTAGAGGTGAGAGTTGAAGATTGCACGGACAGGGGACTCCTCCAAATATTCCCAGTTCACATTCACTATATATTTGGGTTTACCAGGTCTGTCCAGCAGCCTCCCCTGCCACTGGATATCTGCTTGGTCTGTCAATACCCMTCACCTACCTCCGGAGTTCTAACAGCCAACAAGACCCAATAGAACTCCTTCTTTAGCAGCTACCAAACCCTCACTGGATGTTAGGGTCTACAGGGTCTGTCTAGCAAATCGCCTCTCCTTTTGAGCCAACTTCCTACCAGGTGGTGATCAGTTGACAACTCAGCTCATCTCTTTACCTGAATGTCCAAAACATATGGCCGCAGATCACATGATATGACTACAAAGTTAGTCATTGATGTATGACCTAGGGTGTCCTAGTGCCACGTGCACTTATGAACACTCTCATGTTGAAACATGGTGTTCATGATAGACAAACTGTGACTAGCAYAGAAGTCCAACAACAGAGCACCGCTTTGGTTTAGATCAGAGAGGCTGTTCCTCCCAATCACGCCCCTCCAGGTCACACTGTCATTACCACGTGGTCATTGAAGTCCCCCACCAGAATAAAGKTGTCCCCAGCTGGAGCACCTTCCAGCACCCCTGCTAAGGAGTCAGAGAAAGCTGGATACTCTGAACTGCTGAATTTGATGTGTAGGCACATAMAACTGTCAGAGCCCGTCCCCCCACCTGAAGGMACAAGGAAGCTACCCTYTCATCTGCTGGGGAAAACACAGGCACCTAGTTGGAGAGACAAAAGTAGACCCACACCAGCTTGATGCCTCTCACCATGGGTAACTCTAGAGTGAAATAAGGTCCAGCCCCTCTCAAGGACATTGGTTTTGGATCCCATGCTGTGAGTACCTCACACACAAGCTCAGGTTTCTTCCCCACCAGAGTTGTCACATTCCYGGTCCCAAAAGCTAACTCTGGTTAAATGGTCAGAATGCCAAGGTGGCCACATTTGATTATTGCTCATGGCATCATGAACCCGACTCATTTAAACAACAGATGAACTTAAAATTTGAAGACTGTAAAAACAAACAAACAAACAAACACATAACCATGTTGTATATTGTTTTCTACAGCATGTTTCATGTCAGGATCTTGGCCTCAGTATCATTATGGTGTTTGGTTGTTGTACTGCCTCAGAAAAAACTGTTAGCAAGGCTTCAAAAAAACCTTCATACAGCCAGTTGACAACAGTTGTAACTGAGGCTGGTAATTTTTGAGGAGTGTGGYTCCTGTGGGGGAAAAGAGTGTTTCCACTACCAAACAATGAGAAAGATATGACTGTTAACTATCTGCTGAAGTCCGTTTCATGCTCCTCATGTTTCTCACATTTTTTGAAGGATTGCTCATTTTTGACTGGGAACAGCAGTGTGTGCAGAAGTTAAATAAAGCACTCAGAATTCATTGAAGATGAACAAAATTGAATTTGTCTGATCTGATGTCTCAAATGGATCAGATCTAAAGAAAGGAAGCTGACAGTAACCTGAATAGGAGTGTTAATTACTGATTTTCACTTGAAGTACTTKTTCATCTTGTTGGTGGAAACATTTAGAACGCAGTGAACATGAACAAAGCATAATAAATATTGAGAACAACAAACATTCAAATATGCATTTCACAACAACTGAAGATAAAGAATAGATACTTAAGTACATACTCGGACAATGGTACTACATGAAAGAATGTACCACTTTAACTAATAAAAACACGGTATAGATTATCAGTAAATAAAAAAAGTTAAAAACAAAAGAASTGTACTTCTGTTTTTGTAGCTCAAAATGTGTCTGGTCCCATAATTTTCACTATTTAAAACAGGAGACTGTAAAGTTCTGAACTTTAAACTGGATATGAAACTCAGTTCTGTAACCTAAAATCACCTGCAGACTGTACTACTCACATTGGAGTCATCAGGGTCTTTGTTAGTCCGGCTCACAAGACAGATGCTTTGGTCACATGCGTAAATTACAGCACTGATCCTGATACCCAGTCAGTTTCCCTCTAATTACCCTTCACAATSGTTTCAACTCCAGAACCGAAGTCTRGTTGTTTTTGTGTTTGTTTTTACTGTTTTAAACAGTGACTGATGAGAAGTATTTCATGATGATGTATGCTGACAGCACTATTATGTTTAACAAACTTAAAAAGTTCAGAGGTTTAACCAGAGCAACAAATGTTTTATTGCTGAACATGAATAAACTGGCTGGATTAATTGGAACACTTTGCAGTGATTTAACCATTTCTCCAGGATTTAYCTCTGCTTTTCTGACACTTCATCATGAAGACACATATTCCCTGCTGTGGTTGCTTTGGGTTGGACATTTCAGGGAATCTAGCTAGCGGACTTCATGTGGTCCTTYTTTTGAATTTGTGATTTAACTTGTTTATGGTTTCTGTTTTAATATGGAATTGTAGGAATAGTGGTCCAGCGATTACTGGATGCTGAGTTAAAGAAAGAATTGTCCACAGTGTGGCCAAATCTTTCTCAGAAGACTCTGGACCTGTTGGTGACGCCACACAAACGTAAGTAACATCTACACTTTAACTTTTGTGACTAAACTCTGCTACAGACACAAACACAAAGCTTCATCATCCGGAGAGAAGTTCTAGATTTTAAAAGATCCAGTGCTTTGCAACAGGATCCATCCCTCTTTGTAATCTTTAYATTTTTCTATTGTATTTTTCTATTTATTGAACATTTAATAGACATTTATTTAACATTTCTTTAACCAGTCAAATTCCACTGAGATCACAGATATTTTTCAAATCCTCCTGGAGCTGAATGCAGCCTAGCATCATGGTTTGAGACTGTGGGAGTAAACCATAGAAACTCCACACAAACATGAGGAGAACATGTAAACTCCACACACAAAGACCCACGGTCCAATCCAGGGCCTGAACCCAGGACCTACTTGCTGTGAGACATGTCCAAACCAATATCCCTACTGTCCATCTTCTGGGCACATATATCCACCTATTACACTATACAAACACATTACAGTAGATCTAT